CGCGCTAACACTTTCATTTCGCGAATTTTTTTATTTTATTTAAACTAAAAAAAAAACTAATCATCCTGACTCCGCCAGTCTAGTCGAAAGTTAACATTATAGAAATGCGTAATAAAGTGGTGTTCTCTATCACGTTCGCACATGTGTCACCAACATGTATATTTATAGACGTGGTTTAAAGCAAACATGGTACATGTAATCAAATATATATAGTACAGTATTTAAGAAACTTCGATAATACAATAATCAGTGTTTTCAATAATAAATATCCAATTGCTTAACACGACAACCAACTGAAGCATTCATTCAAAATATAATCAGCTCATTTGTATACCTCCTTGTAAATGTCAGCTTTATTTTGATCAGTACAATAAAAATTACTTATCTGTGATCACGAAATAATCATGTTATTAAAAGTGTTTCATATTCACACATTCAAGTTGTTTTTATTTATGGTGTAATAGTAGAATAATAACGGTTGTTTCGTATCTTAGTTTTACATCAGATTCTAGCGCTAGTGATCTGTTAGGAAAATCATCATGTGATGGCACACTTCAATCTGATTAAAATCCGATGTAGGTATGGGCCATTCAATCGGAGATTTCATCGAATTTTGATAAGATTGGCCACACTCGAACTGAAGCGTATGCTCCACATTACACGGTGCGTACAGAGTTTGTATTTTTCTATTATTTTGACAAGGACATTAAACTTTTGACATTTACTTTTATTCTGAAATAAAGTATAATTCAGTGAAATACAGTGTTCTGGTTCATTTTTACATTAAACACAGTCACTGTGGGGACGAGTTTACGTCATGTTTTTTTTTCGTGCTGTGCCCTCTATGGTGAAGTAGGGCGAGTCAAAACTGTGCACAGAGTTATCTTGTAGTTGCATTGTATATGTATGTATTTAAAGAAGATGTGTATTACCCAGCTGCAAAATGTGGACATATATACTAGTACACCCAGGTTTGAACAGATTTTACTTGGCGTGGTATTAGTAACGTCGCGGTTACAACTTTTTTTATTGGAGGTAAGCCGTAACTAACAAACAGTATCGTTGATTGGCCAGCCCACTTAAAAATCGCGGGGAATTCACATGCTTCGACCACAGTTCTTCCGGTTGCTACTCTCTGTTGCGTACCAACACATCCACAGACAGGGACATCTGACCTTACATACTAATCATTGGAAACACTACAAGATGATCGGGCAGAAAAAGATTTCTTCATTTTTTAGCCCGAAACCAGCGAAAACGTCAGAGAAACGGACGCTTGCGGATACACAACAGAACTCGTCGGCAGTGTTATCTAGCCCAGCGGCTGATGAAAAGGTAGGCAGTAGGTAGGCATAGAGATATTTAGCTATATAGCATAACAATAATGTGAATTAGATGCAGCTCCACGGTTTACTGGAACCAGAGGTAACGATTGTTACACTTTACATAATTATTACGTCCAGGCTTACAGCAAGTATTGGGGCACCAAGTGAGACACTTCACTAAAGCAGATAACACACAATTTTAACAACCTGGTAGGCTGATTGGCGATCCGCCAGGCTCAAAAAGATATTTTTTTCGGGTGTCGCCATGGTAATGGTAGGACAAATTCAAAAACAAAATCGTAAGTTTAGGACTCAACTTGAGAAGTAAATTAGAATGAGATATGTCTGAGATTTTGACTCAAAGATTTGCACGTGAATACATTTTTTTCGCGAAGCTATGACCAAAAATTTGAAAAGTTATCTGTCATTGTCATGGCAACAGTAGAACAGACTAATCTTTTATCTTTGGGCCAACACTCAAGCTGAGTAGTATAAGATAAGTAAGAGATTTGTGGGAGGAGATATATTTGGCACAAAGGTATTCAAAACTATTTTTTTATTATTGCCTTGCAACAGTGGGCCAAAGATTTTATCATCTAACTAGAGTGAAGGTGTGACCTGTCAACTAAGTTTCAACGATATCGTCCGAGACAAAAACATTTACAGAAGATTTGATACACTCACACAAAAGTGATTACAGCCAAAACAGTGTCAGCTTGGACTTTCAGTTGTGAGACATGACAAAACAAACGCTGCCAGTGATACCTTTCGGGAATAAAAAAACAAAATAAACGCAACCCAAGGCACCGACCACGTGCCTTGGAAATAAATACAACCTGTTGCGATGAGGAGTCTTATCTGCCCCTTTCACTTGATGAAATTATAAACTATGTAGTGTATTCGACCACTCATGTATGAACAATAACTTTAGTAAATATGATTTTACTGCATAAAAACAAAAGAATTTCACAATGTCAAAAACGGAAAGTTTTTAATCGTAATGTTGTTGGTAATAGTTGAAATAGTTTGTATTTTTATTTTCGAAATGTATCACTGGCTGCATTTGTTTTGTCATGTCTCGCAACTGAAAGTCCAAGCTGACTTTGTTTTGGCTGTATGGGGGGCAATTTTAGCAGAGCGGATAGCCAAAAATTCTGGATATTCTATCAACTTTGTGATGATCCATTGCAGCTGCTTTGTCAAAACCAAAGTTGTCAGTGAACTAATGAGAAAGTTAGTTAGCTAACTTGCTGCCCGAATACTGAGACTTGCTGTAATAAATTTCAAAATAGTATTATCAGGTTGGTAATGTATTATTACTTGTTCACAGACAACTCCAACTAAGAAATTCAAAAGCAGTGATCAAACCAGTCCACTGTCCCCAGAACAAAAGTCATTAATAGCCAAAAAGAA